ATTAGAGCATAAGCTTTCGTGGGCTACAACCCACTTCTTCGGATGCAGTGGGTTGTAGCCCACGAAAGCTTATGCTCTAATAAATTTGTTAGATTCTTCTATGGATTACCATCCATATAGACATCTTTCCATAGGAATGTCTCTGCCAGGGCCGGCTTTAGGCTGATTCAGCCGATTTGGCTGAATTGGGCCCCGCGCCACAGCTCTCCACCCCGCCCTCAGCTCACTTCCCCCCCCTCCCCTCCCCTGAACGCTCCGCCCCCTGCTCCTCCCCCTCCCCTGCTTCCCGTGAATCAGAGGTTCGCGGGAAGTCTGAAAAGAAGCAGGGGCGGGCAGGCAGCACCAGGTAAGCTGGGGTGGAGGGGGGCGCGAGAAGGGCTCCGGGGAGGCGCGGTCCAGTCCGGCCCCGGTTCCGGCTGAGCACACAGGCCCCAGCGGCTCTGGGCCGGCTTGGCTCCAGCCTGGCCCCCGCGGCGCGGCTCGGGCCGGACCCAAGCCCGGCAACCTCGGCTGGAGCACGGCTCGATTCCTGGGGGTGGGGCCTTGCAGCAAGCCCCGCCCCCAGGAATCAGGCCCCGCTCTTGCTAAAGCCGGCCCTGGTCTCTGCAGTATTCTAACCATCTCCTCTCCCAACTTTCGCCATTTCATCTGATTCCCACCATCTTCCTAGCTGCTCCAGCTCACAACCTTGAGACAATTTTAGGCATGCATCCTTTACACAGCCAACCTTTCTCCCAATCCTGCCAGGTGACCCTCTACAGCATCTCAGAAATGCATTCATTCACTTTTACTGCAAAAACACTAGTGCATGCTGTGACTAGTTGGACACCCCTTCTGGGATGCCACTTGATGTACTGGGATTTCACTGAGCCTCTCCTGCTCAACCAGCCTGGGTTCCCTCTCCCTGCTTTGCTGAACTAGGCTCTCTGGTTTCTTGCAGCACGTACATGCATACACACCCGCTGCAGCCACAGACTGAAGTCAGCTCTGTGTGAGAGGACTCCCTCAGTACTCAGGTGCACACCCCTTTTGGAAGATAAACCCAAAATAATACTGTCTTGCACTGTGCAGATTTTCTATACAGTGCAAGCTCATAAAAATCCACCCTCTTCCTCCATGTGAAGAGAGATGTGCACGACTTCCCCGCCCCCCCGTAGAAGTTACATAAACTGGGCTTAATAAACAAATTTTATTAACTATAAAAGGCAGATTTTAAATGGTTCAAGGGACAGCAGACAAAACAAAGCAGATTACTAAGCAAATGAAACCAAGCACACAAACTAAGCTTGACACACTAGATAAGTAGGATACAAATTAGCAAATTCTCACCCCAAGGGATAAACAGGCTGGCAGATTCTTAAGGCACAAGTTGCCTTGGCTTTCCCAGATTTTCATATACAGGCTAAAGATCTTAGCCTGGGACCATCACTTCTCTCAGTTCAGTCTTTGTTTCTCAGGTGTTCTGGGGTGTGTTGTTGTGAGGAGAGTCAAGCAACCTCATGTCATTGTCCCTCTTTTATATCTCCCTCCCCCCCCCCCCATTTGCTGTGACCTGGGTCAAACAGTTCCCATTGTATAAAGCTCTCTCTGAGAGGTGTCTATTGCACCCAGTTCCTGCTTGTGTGCATTTCTTCAATAAGCCACTAACATTGTTTGGCCTCATCCTACGTAGCATATTTAAAATAGAGACATGGTCAATAATCACAGCTTCAGATACAAAAATACATGCATAAAAATTGGATAAACACATTCAGTAAATTATAAACTTTCCAATGATATTTTAAGATCCATCTTGCATAAAGTACATCTCCATTATGTCACATCCATATCATAGCCATATTTCCATGAAGAATATGGGATGTAATGTCACACATGCCTTCACTATCTTCTCAAGACCCAGTCTCTCACTTCTCCCCATTTCAGTTCATTCAAAATGCTACCAATTTCCTTATCAACAAAACTTAGAGGCTGCTGCCACATCATCTCTCTACCATAAATAAGGAATGACTAAATAGAGGCACTACTTGCAGCAAGAGGAAGCACTCCCCCAAGAACAGTTGATTTAATTTGGCTGAAGTCAGCAGCTCAGCAGGATTCAATAAGT